AATCTGGAAGAGCGAAGGAGGGAGAGCCTGTTAAATGCTTATTAATTATGAAGAATAGATAATGCATTTTGGGTGTGGAGGTGGGGAGCGTGATCTGAAACAGAATCAAAAGTGCTGCAGGCTCCTTCTCCTACTCCCTCCTATCCTCTGTTCAACCCCACAATAGAACCATGGAATCCCAGGAAAAGATCCCCAAAACACCCCCATCCCATCCAATCCCCCTCCCCCCTTTCCTGGTTTCATAATGGAGGAGGTGTTTTTCCAGAGCAGTTGTACTAAAAGCACTGCGACCGTCAGCCAGCCTCCATGGTGTCACTCAGACTGAATTATTCATGGGGCTGCGTCCCAAATGGAACCCTATTCCCTATTTAGTGCACTACTTTCAACCAAGGCTCTGATCAAAAGTAGAGGCGTATATAGTGAATATGGTTCCATTTGGGACGCACCCATGGACATATGGGTCATGTGAGCGCAGGTCACTGCACACGCTTTAAAAAAGCAACAACAAACCAGGAAATTAATTTCCCCCCTTTAAAATGTTTCTCCTGGAGTAGTAAGTTGTTTCCTGCGAGCTATATACAGTGGGGAAAAAAAGTATTTAGTCAACCACCAATTGTGCAAGTTCTCCCACTTAAAAAGATGAGAGAGGCCTGTAATTTTCATCATAGGTACACGTCAACTATGACAGACAAAATGAGGAAAAAAAATCCAGAAAATCACATTGTAGGATTTTTAATGAATTTATTTGCAAATTCTGGTGGAAAATAAGTATTTGGTCAATAACAAACGTTTCTCAATACTTTGTTATATACCCTTTGTTGGCAATGACACAGGTCAAACGTTTTCTGTAAGTCTTCACAAGGTTTTCACACACTGTTGCTGGTATTTTGGCCCATTCCTCCATGCAGATCTCCTCTAGAGCAGTGATGTTTTGGGGCTGTCGCTGGGCAACACGGACTTTCAACTCCCTCCAAAGATTTTCTATGGGGTTGAGATCTGGAGACTCCAGGACCTTGAAATGCTTCTTACGAAGCCACTCCTTCATTGCCCGGGCGGTGTGTTTGGGATCATTGTCATGCTGAAAGACCCAGCCACGTTTCATCTTCAATGCCCTTGCTGATGGAAGGAGGTTTTCACTCAAAATCTCACGATACATGGCCCCATTCATTCTTTCCTTTACACGGATCAGTCGTCCTGGTCCCTTTGCAGAAAAACAGCCCCAAAGTATGATGTTTTCACTCCCATGCTTCACAGTAGGTATGGTGTTCTTTGGATGCAACTCAGCATTCTTTGTCCTCCAAACACAACGAGTTGAGTTTTTACCAAAAAGTTATATTTTGGTTTCATCTGACCATATGACATTCTCCCAATCCTCTTCTGGATGCACTCTAGCAAACTTCAGACGGGCCTGGACATGTACTGGCTTAAGCAGGGGGACACGTCTAGCACTGCAGGATTTGAGTCCCTGGCGGCGTAGTGTGTTACTGATGGTAGGCTTTGTTACTTTGGTCCCAGCTCTCTGCAGGTCATTCACTAGGTCCCCCCGTGTGGTTCTGGGATTTTTGCTCACCGTTCTTGTGATCATTTTGACCCCACGGGGTGAGATCTTGCGTGGAGCCCCAGATCGAGGGAGATTATCAGTGGTCTTGTATGTCTTCCATTTCCTAATAATTGCTCCCACAGTTGATTTCTTCAAACCAAGCTGCTTACCTATTGCAGATTCAGTCTTCCCAGCCTGGTGCAGGTCTACAATTTTGTTTCTGGTGTCCTTTGACAGCTCTTTGGTCTTGGCCATAGTGGAGTTTGGAGTGTGACTGTTTGAGGTTGTGGACAGGTGTCTTTTATACTGATAACAAGTTCAAACAGGTGCCATTAATACAGGTAACGAGTGGAGGACAGAGGAGCCTCTTAAAGAAGAAGTTACAGGTCTGTGAGAGCCAGAAATCTTGCTTGTTTGTAGGTGACCAAATACTTATTTTCCACCATAATTTGCAAATAAATTCATAAAAAATCCTACAATGTGATTTTCTGGATTTTCTTTTCTCAATTTGTCTGTCATAGTTGACGTGTACCTATGATGAAAATTACAGGCCTCTCTCATCTTTTTAAGTGGGAGAACTTGCACAATTGGTGGCTGACTAAATACTTTTTTTCCCCACTGTATATATATATATATACACTATACATCTACTGTTCTTCAGATATACTACATATTCATCCATATGCTGTCCATATTGTCTATATATCCCATCACATATATACAGTGCATTCGGAAAGTATTCAGACCCCTTGACTTTTTTACAGCCTTATTCTAAAATTGATTAAATTAAACATTTTACTCATAAATCTACACACAATACCCCATAATGACTAAGTGAAAACAGGTTTTTAGAAATTTTTGCAAATGTATTAAAAATAAAAAAAACGGAAATACCTTATTTACGTAAGTATTCAGACCCTTTGCTATGAGACTCGAAATTGAGCTCAGGTGTATCCTGTTTCCATTGATCATCCTTGAGATGTTTCTATAACTTGATTGGAGTCAACCTGTGGTAAATTCAATTGATTGGACATTATTTGGAAAGGCACACACCTGTCTATATAAGGTCCCACAGTTGACAATGCATATCAGAGCAAAAACCAAGCCATGAGGTTGAAGGAATTGTCTGTAGAGTTTCGAGACAGGATCGTGTCGAGGCGCAGATCTGGGGAAAGGTACCAAAACATTTCTGCAGCATTGAAGGTCCCCAAGAACACAGTGGACTCCATCATTCTTAAATGGAAGAAGTTTGGAATCACCAAGACTCTTCCTTGAGCTGGCCGCCTGGCCAAACTGAGCAATCGGGGGAGAAGGGCCTTGGTCAGGAAGGTGACCAAGAACACGATGGTCACTCTGACAGATCTCCAGAGTTCCTCTGTGGAGATGGGATAACCTTCCAGAAGGACAACCATCTCTGCAGCACTCCACCAATCAGACCGTTATGGTAGAGTGGCCAGACGGAAGCCACTCCTCAGTGAAAGGCACATGACAGCCCACTTGGAGTTTGCCAAAAGGCACTAAAGGACTAAAGGTCTCTGGTCTGATGAAACCAATATTGAACTCTTTGACCTGAATGCCAAGCGTCACGTCTGGAGGAAACCTGGCACCATCCCTATGGTGAAGCATGGTGGTGGCAGCCTCATGCTGCAGGGATGTTTTTCAGCAGCAGGGACTGGGAGACTTGTCAGGATCGAGGGAAAGATGAACGGAGCAAAGTACAGAGAGATCGTTGATGAAAACCTGCTCAGGACCTCCGACTGAGGCTAAGGTTCACCTTCCAACAGGACAATGACCCTAGCACACAGCCAAGACAATGCAGGAGTGGCTTCGGGACAAGTCTCTGAATGTCCTTGAGTGGCCCAGCCAGAGCCCAGACTTGAACCCGATCGAACATCTCTGGAGAGACCTGAAGATAGCTGTGCAGCGACGCTCCCCTTCCAACCTGACAGAGCTTGAGAGGATCTGCAGAGAAGAATGGGAGAAACTCCCCAAATACAGGTGTGCTAAGATTGTAGGGTCATACCTAAGAAGACTCGAGGCTGTAATCGCTGCCAAAGGTTCTTCAACAAAGTACTGAGTAAAGGGTCTGATTACTTATGTAAATGTGATATTTCAGTTTTTTTTTATTTTTTATATAGATTTGCTAAAATGTCTACAAACCTGTTTCTGCTTTGTCATTATGGGCTATCGTGTGTAGATTGATGAGGGGAAAAAGCAATTAAATCCATTTTTAGAATAAGGCTGTAACGTATCGAAATGTGGAAAAAGTCGAGGGGTCTGAATACTTTCCGAATGCACTGTATATACACTATATATACAAAAGTATGTGGAAACCCCTTCAAATTTGTGGATTCGGCTATTTCAGCCACATCCGTTGCTGACAGGTGTATAGAATCGAGCACACAGCCATGCAATCTCCATAGACAAACATTGGCCGTAGAATGGCCTTATTGACGAGCTCAGTGACTTTCAACGTGGCACCATTGTAGGATGCCACCTTTCCAACAAGTCAAATGTCTGCCCTGCTGGAGCTTCCCAGGTCAACTGTAAGTGCTGTTATTGTGAAGTGGAAACGTCTAGGAGCAACAACGGCTCAGCCGCGAAGTGAACGGGACCGCTGAAGCTCGTAACGCGTAAAAATAGTCTGTCCTCGGTTGCAACACTCACTACCGAGTTCCAAACTGCCTCTGGAAGCAGCGCCAGCACAAGATGTGTTCGTCGGGAGCTTCATGGCCAAGCAGCCGCACACAAGCCTAAGATCACCATGCACAATGCCAAGCGTCGGCTGGAGTGGTGTAAAGCTCGCTACCATTGGACTCTGGAGTGATGAATCACGTTTCACCATCTGGCAGTCCGATGGATGAATCTGTGTTTGGCGGATGCCAGGAGAACGCTACCTGCCCGAATGCATAGTGCCAACTGTAAAGTTTGGTGGAGGAGGAATAATGGTCTGGGGTTGTTTTTCATGGCTAGGCCCCTTAGTTCCAGTGAAGGGAAATCTTAACGCTACAGCATACAATGACATTCTAGACGATTCTGTGTTTCCAACTTTGTGGCAACAGTTTGGGGAGGCCCTTTCCTGTTTCAGCATGAAAATGCCCCTGGGCAACAGGGCGAGGTCCATACAGAAATGGTTTGGGATTAATTGGAACGCCGACTGCGAGCCAGGCATAATCGCCCAACATTATCTGACCTCATGGTGAGGCGAGGGGAGCTCCAGTCTACTGTACATGATGATGGGGTTGTTCAGAGAACCTGCTCTTCCTTGACGTTGTTTCAAGATGCTGGTGTGGACAGTCACAGCAAAGTCGCAATGTAAAAAACAAACAAAAAAAACCTGACCCTAAACTTCTAGGTAGTGGTCTGTTTCTGAACAGTAGGCTCACAGGCTATATGAGCAGACATCTTACTAGAACATTATGCTATGGCTGTCTCTGTGAACATTATGACCCAAGTGGGAATGGGGAACGAGTGGCATGTGCCCTCAGGAGAAACCCTGGAGGCTGAGGGATGGGTATGGGGATGTTGGGGCTACAGATGGGGATTAACTGCCTGTCTCCTCGCCTCGTGCCACAAACCTACCGGATCATGATGGCTAATCCAACACATTCTATTTCCCCATCTATTCCCCCCCCCCCCACGTCTGTGACCATAGGACCAAGATTTTAACTCAACACCTCACTACTGCTGACTCAGGCATGCTGAACACACACCTTGAATGATGTGTTCTCATTGTTGTTGTCACTCACTCTGTCTTTCTCTCTCCCTCCCTCCTTCTCGCTCTCCCTCCCTCCTTCACTCTTTCCCTCCCTCCTTCACTCTTTCTCTCCCTCCTTCACTCTTTCTCTCCCTCCCTCCCTCCTTCACTCTCTCTCTCTCTCCCTCCCTCCCTCCTTCACTCCCTCCCTTTCTCTCTCCCTCTCTCCCTCCTTCACTCTCTCCCTCCCTTTCTCTCTCCCTCCCTCCCTCTCTCCCTCCCTCTCTCCCTCCCTCTCTCCCTCCTTCACTCTCTCGCCCTCCTTCACTCTCTCTCGCCCTCCTTCACTTTCTCTCCCTCCCTCCTTCACTCTCCTCCTCCACTCTCTCTCCCTCTTTCTCTCTCCCTCCTTCACTCTCTCCCTTTCTCTCTCCCTCCTTCACTCTCTCCCTCCCTTTCTCTCTCCCTCCTTCACTCTCTCCCTCTCCCTCCTTCACTCTCTCTCTCCCTCCCTTTCCCTCCCTCTGCAGAATGAGACAAGGGAGTCCTTGCTGGGTTTTAACATGGTAAACTACAGAGCCTGTAAGAACCTATGGAAGACCTGTGTAGAACACCACACCTTCTTCCGTCTGGACCGGCCCGTTCCCCATCAGAAGAACTTCTTTGCCCACTATTTTACCCTAGGCTCCAAGTTCCGTTACTGGTAAGAGAAAATCCCCATTGCCACACGTGCATGCACCAACGCGCGTGCACTATACCTACAAAGCACTGAAATGTCGACACAGGTCAAATGTTTGCTAGGTCACGATGAGTGGCATCTATAGTCAGTGTTTGGGGAGTTCCGTTAGCGGTTGCCTGTCGTGCTCTCATCTTTGGAAAGGTAGATTAATTATTAACGATGCCCCAAAACTGATCTTGTTTTTCTTCAGTCCTTTCGAAACGCTTTTGGGGGAAAATGAGTTATTCTATTATTCATATGGATTCACTTCTCAGATTAGAAATAGTACAAACAAACATAAACTGTTCATTGTTGAAGTACTTGAGCATTTGCTTTGAGCTGTGCAGGGGATGGGGGTGGTAAGGGGGCCAAGAGTTTCGTCCTTCTAGATTGTGCTGTGAGATATTGGTGAAACAGAAACAGAGTGGTGAGGTTTTTTATGCATTTTTTAAGCTCCAGTTGGGATGTGAGGTGCAGCACAGCACAGCAGTTTGGAAGATGTGGCTGAATGTTACTAAAATGATGGTTGGATGTTGTTTGAACGTGTTCTCTGCAGCGGGAGGACAGAGGTGCAGTCGGTGCAGTATGGCAAAGAGAAGGGAATCAAGAACAGGGTGTTTGCCAGGTAATGCAACTCAACACTATACTGTATATGTCCAGTGCCTGTAGAAAGTCTACACCTACCCTTGGATTTCTGTACATTTTATTGTGTTACGAAGTGGGATTAAAATGGATTAATTGTTATGTTTTGTCAACGATCTATACCAAATACTCTGTCAAATAAGAAAAATACTAATCTTTTTTAAAGATTAATGAAAAATAAAACACTAATATAACTTGATTAGATAAAAGTATTCACGCCCCTGAGTAAATAAATGTTAGAAATCCCCTGTGAGTCTACTTGGATAAGTCTCTAAGATATGTGTTTCCTGTCTGAGTAGGTCTCCCAGTAAGCCCATGGCCAGGAAGTTGATGGGCGGGACAGACTGGGAGGCGCTGAGCAGGAACAGCCTATCAGACGAGAGGCTGGAGACCCAGAGCCTGCCCACACGTTCCCCACCCGGTACCCCTAACCAGTGAGTACCTGGCTGTCACTCCTCCTTATATACCCTGTCCTAATATAATGCCCACACCTCCGAGAGGGAGAGACACACTGTGAGGGAGTCCCTGTTCCAATACCGTCAGTAATGGAAGTCACACTTTTCATAGCATGGGCAAAGGAAAAGGAATTCTACACATTCAAATGTTTCACAGAAGCTGGACAAAACATAATTGAATCAAAAGAAAATGGAAGTCTTCAAACAGTGTGGATACCGTACATTCATTTGCTTTGATTCCACACACAATCCAACTAACCACCATTTTGTGTGTTTGCCTGCAGCCGGAACTCGTTGTTCGTACAGGAGGGGACGCGGATGCGGCCGTTGTCGGTGGGGCACCTGGTGGACCACGTGATCCACGCCTCGCCCAGTCTCCTCGTCTTCTCCAATCACAAATCGGCGTCCTCCACCCAGGCCAACTCCATCAGCCTCGACTCCAGCCCGTAAGTCTGCTGCCGCACACACATGCCAATCACAAGTCAGCCTCATCCACTCACGCCAACTCCATCAGTCTGGACTCCACCTGTCATTCTGACCTCTAGTGGACACTGGACACACTGCAGTAGTCAGGAAGATGAGAAGGGTGGTGGTTATCAGTGGCCCTGTTGACATGACTGTATGATCTGACCAGGAACAACTCGGGCCCCTAGTTCTATCCCAGTACGAGAGACTAGGCCTACATTAAAGCAATATACAGCAAACGAGTGCTCTAAGCAAGACTGACAAACAATCTAATGGAAGTTGTCTCTGACCAGCGTTTCCCTCCCTACAAAACACCACCATAGCTGTTAATGTGGGTGAAAGTTGGTGACTGTGCCTATATTCCACTGTTAAAGTCCCCACTAAAGCCGCTGTCTAAAAATCTATGGAAGCCACATTTAATTGGACTTGACAGTACCAGTGCCATGGTGTCTGCTCAGACTTCTGAAACTGCTGCTTTTGAACAGTTTAATGAGCTTAAATGGAAACAGAGTCTTTGAACTGGGGCTATTAAAAGTGTTTACAGCTCTGGGGGCATGGAGGGGGTTCGGCAGGGTGTGGGATGGTAGACCCATAAAAAGAAGGCCTTTGGCCTGTCTCTGACTGGGAGCCGTATACCCCTCTTAGGTCAAAATGCCCCAGGCCCGTGGCTGTAGTCTACTGCAGTAGTGGTCCACTGATATCTGAGAGTAGCTTAACCCCTAGTGTCTCTTAGGGCAGAACCCCCTAGTGTCTCTTAGGGCAGAACCCCCTAGTGTCTCTCAGGGCAGAACCCCCTGGTGGCTGTACTGTGGCAGAGTGGCATAACCCCTGGGCTACTATTGTCCCACCCCGTCCTTGTCCCACCCCGTCCTTGCCCACCCCGTCCTTGTCCCACCCCGTCCTTGTCCCACCCCGTCCTTGTCCCACCCCCTGGCCTCCCTCTGCTCTAAACCCTAACCTCAACCTCCAGACAACCCTGTACTCCAGTTATTTTGTCTGTTATGTTCGTTGAGATGCCTTTCAAAGCTCCGGTAACTGTTTATTATTAGGCTAGATTGGGTAAGCAGGGAGGGTATTTATATGTTCTGCAGAAGGGTTATCTTACCAAGAACTGTGTCGCAAGCACTAATACAAATACCACACCTCTAATGCGAATGGAGGGAGTAGTTCAGAGTTCCCTCACTTAGACTCCCAATTTAACGTTGAACATTTTAGTCATTTAGCAGACGCTCTTATCCAGAGCGACTTTTTCATACATTTTTCTTACTTAACCTATGCATATACACAGAGGCACACCCACACTCAGCCTATATACTCTCCCTCCCTCTTTCACTCTCCTTTCACTCCTGCATGCACACACACAAACGCATACACACGCTTGCACGCACCCACATTCTGTGCCAAGCCATTTGCTCGTCACGTCACTGATCCAGAAGATGACATAACCACCTGCTCAGGCATCTCTCTCTCTCTCTCTCTCCTCTCCTCTCTCTCCTCATCGTCTCCTCTCTCTCCGCTCTCTCCTCCGGGGGCTCCTCCATCTCCTCTCCTCTCCTACTCTCTCTCCTCCTCTCTCCTCTCTCCTCCCTCTCTTCTCTTCCTCTCCCCTCTCTCTCCTCCTCCTCTCCTTCTCGCTCCTCCTCTCGCCTCTCTCTCTCTCCATCTCTCTCATCTCCCTCCTCCTCTCTCTCTCTCTCTCTCTCGTCCCTCCTCCATCTCTCCCTCTCTCCTCCCCTCTCTCCTACTCCTCTCCTCTCTTGCCCCTCTCCTCTCTCTCAAATAAACATCAAAACAACTATATTCCCCATCACAGCATTAGCTCAGTAAGATGAGGTTTCAGATGGTGGAAACCAATGCAACCAGGTCATGTGATACCTCCCTTCTGCAACCTGATCTGTGAACCAGGAAAAACACCCCACCACACTATCACGTGACAGGCTGCTGACCCCAGCCTGACCTTTAAAAAACTAAGAGAAGGTTGACCGTTCCCTGACTTCAGTCATGGGGGGGGGGGGGCTTTAGGCCTTTATATCTTACTGTCTTGATGTAATTAGCTAAATAAAGCCCTGTCTGTTGTTGTACAGCTAATTATTTCAGCTGATTATCCAGCATTTCAGACAAATACTCTAGCTCGAGCTAGTATTTGAAGAAGTTTGTTACTGTGTATGTTCCTGGGGTCAGTCTTAGTGAGCAGTAGTCCCTCCCTCTCCCTTCCCTCCCCCCTCCCCTCTCCCCCTTCCCCTTCCCTCTCCCTCCCCCTTCCCTTCCCTCCCTCTCCCTCCCTCCTCCCCTTCCCTTCCCTATCCCTCCCCCCCTTCCCTCTCCCTCCCCCTTTTCTTCCCCCATCCCCCCCCCCCCTCCCCCCTCCCCCTCCCCCCTTTCCCCCGTTTCTCCCCCTTTCCCTTCCCTTCCTTTCCCTCCTCCCCTTCCCTCCCCTCTCCCTCCCCCCTTCCCTCTCCCGCCCCCTCCCTCCCCCCCGTCCCTCTCCCCCCTTCCCTCCTCCCTCCCCATTCCCCCCTTCCTCTCCTTCCTCTTCCTTCCCCACCGCTCTCCCTCCCCCTTCCCTCTGCCCTTCCCCACCGGCCTCGCACTCCCCCTTTCCCCTCCTCCCCTCTCCCCTCCCTTCCCTTCTCCCCTTCCTCTCCCTTCCCCGCCGTTTCTTCCCCCCTTCCCTCTCCCTTCCCTCTGCCTGCCTTCCCCACCGCTCTCCTTCCTCCTCCCTTCCCTCTGCCTTCCCCACCGCTCGGCCCTCCCCCCCTTTTTTTCCCCTCTCCCTCCCCCCCCTCTCCCCCTTTCCCTCTCCCTCCCCCCCTTTCCCCTCCCTCCCCCCTTTTCTCCCCCTTCCCTCTCCCTTCCCTCTGCCTTCCCCACCGCTCTCCCTCCCCCCACCGCTCTCCCTCCCCCTTCCCTCTCCCTCCCCTCTCCCCCTTCCCTCTCCCTCCCCTCTCCCCCCTTCCCTCTTCCTCCCCCTTCCCTCTTCCTCTCCCCCTTCCCTCTGAAGTCTGTGTAGTGTCTGTTTATTTTGAGTGAGGTGCCTGTATGTCCCTCCTGCAGGGTCACCCCTCCCTCCCCACCAGTGTCTCCTGTGTTGTGACACCAGCCTGGCATACAGGACGCCAAACAAAGACAATGTGCTGTGACTGTTCCTGACTGGCCTCTAGTCCCCCTGGGATTTCTGTGGTTGAGTGACTGAGATGGTTAGGTACACTGTACACAACACACACCCACTGTGACTGGGATGGTTAGGTAGTTACACAGTACAACACACACACACACACACACACACTGTCTCTCTCTGTTGGAGGATGTGCTCTAGGAGCTCTGCTCTGCTATTAGCCAATGGCCACGGGCAACTGGAGTTTCTGCTTATCCAAGAGCTCTGATTGGCTGAATGGCTTACTGAGCTCTGTTGTTAGCTCTGTTGTATTTTAGGAAATGGAACGTGCCTTATCTTGAAAAAAGATCAAGGACTGAAAAGGGACTGACTGGCTGACAGATAGACTGAAGGTACTGTACCATTCGCTAACACTGTCTGTGTATCTCTCTCCAGCTCCCCAGAGACAGTAGATGGTCGGCCCCCGGCCCTGCCTCCCAAACAGTCCAGGAAGAACCTGAGCCAGATCATCCTGGCCCACTCCCAGCAGAGTCTCCTAGACAACCACATCAATGAGATGTACGACATCCCCATGGCAACCGACAAGACCATGGTAAGTCCACCCTGACTCAATCTACCACTGTTTTCATTTTGTTTCATTATTTATTTATTCAGCTGGACCCAAATGACTTAGAACTAGGGCCAGGGTTTTTCTGACCTTTTGACCTGTGAAGCACTCTGGGTCCTTCAGAGGCTCTTTAGGCTGTCAGGAGCTTACGTCCTTTCCAATGTAGACATGTATTAACACATCCCTATGTCTTTCTCTACAGTTGAACGGTGTTGTCCCTCACGACAATCTGGTGCTGGTCAAGATGAGGCCGGATGACAACAGACGATTTGGCTTCAACGTCAAGGTGAGCCGACAAGGTGAAAAATCTATCGATGTGCCCTTGAGCAAGGCACTTAAACCTAATTTGCTCCAGGGGTGCTGTACTACACATTTCACTGCACCTATCCGGTGTATGTGGCAATGAAACATCTTTATTATTATATATTTTTAAATATATAATACTATGCCATGGCAATGCCCTGAGGGTAATCGCCTAATCCTACTGCTCCTAATCCTGACCTTTTGACTTGACCAAGAAAAGCTGGTGATATGGTCAGATTGTTTAGCCCTCTCCATTGCCTTGGTTTTAGGGTGGAGCTGATCAGAAGGTGCCGGTCATCGTGTCTCGTGTGGCCCCTGGGACATCGGTATGTTGTAACACTATCACCAACACCCCATACATTTACAGTACACATACTCATGTTCTTTCTCTCTCAGATACTCAGAAACACGCTCTCACTTTCCCTATCACTTCTGCCCTCACACTCACATTCTTTCTACCCGTCATCTCTCTCGCTATTTCTCTCTCCATCTTTCCCTTCTATCTGTCTCTCTTTCCCTCCCTCTGTCTTGTTCCCTCTCACGCTCTCTCATTCCAACACACACATATTCACACGCTGTATGAAACGTTCCATTGTTTGGAGCGAGAAGTAAGATGAGCCAGTCATACGGTAGACTCACACTTGTCTGTCAATGTAAAGTGCATTGAACTGGTCTGATTTGACATCACTCAGAAATCAAATCAAATTTGATTGATCACATACACATATTTAGCAGATGTTAATTGTGGGTTAGAGAAATTATTGTGTTCCTAGCTCCAACAGTGCAGTAATATCTAACAATACACACAAATCTAAAAAAGTAAAATAATGTAATTAAGAAATATATAAATATTACAACGAGCAATGTCGGAGTCCGGAGTATAAATGTATATATATATATATGTGTAATGGGATGTATAGACACTATTGACAGTATGTGGATAGAATATGTAGTATGTCTGAAGAATACGTAGGTACAGCAATAGTTAAATACGATAGGCCTTGACTAGAATACAGTATATACATATGAAGTGGGTAAAACATTATGTAAACATTATTAAAGTGACCAGTGTTCCATTTATTAAAGTGACCAGTGTTCCATGTCTATGTACATAGGCAGCAGCCTCTAAGGTGCAGAGTTGAGTAACCGGGTGGTAGCCGGCTAGTGACAGTGACTAAGTTCAGGGCAGGGTACTGGGCGGGGCCGGCTAGTGGTGACTATTTAACAGTATGATGGCCTTGAGATAGAAGCTGTTTTTCAGTCTCTCGGTCCCAGCTTTGATGCACCTGTACTGACCTCGCCTTCTGGATGGTAGCGGGGTGAACAGGCTGTGGCTCGAGTGGCTGAGTTCCTTGATTATCTTTTTGGCCTTCCTATGAGACCGGGTGCTGTAGATGTCCTGGAGGGCAGGCATTGGGCCCCTGGTGATGTGTTGGGCAGACCGCACCACCCTCTGGAGAGCCCTGCGGTTGCGGACGGTGCAGTTGCCGTACCAGGCAGTGATACAGCCCGATAGGATGCACTCAGTGGTGCATCTGTAAAAGTGTGTGAGGGTCTTAGGGGCCAAGCCGAATTTCTTCAGCCTCCTGATGTTGAAGAGACGCTGTTGCACCTTCTTCACCACACAGTCTGTGTGGGTGGACCATTTCAGTTTGTCAGTGATGTGTACGCCGAGGAATTTGAAGCTTTTTACCTTCTCCACTGTGGCCCTGTCGATGTGGATGGGAGAGTGCTCCCACTGCTGTTTCCTGAATTCCACAATCAGCTCCTTCGTTTTGTTGACGTTGAGGTTATCTTCCTGGCACCACTCCGCCAGGGCCCTAACCTCCTCCCTGTAGGCTGTCTCGTCGTTGTTGGTAATCAGGCCTAGGACTGTTGTCGTCTGCAAACTTGATGATTGAGTTGGAGACGTGCGTGCCCACGCAGTCATGGGTGAACAGGGAGTACAGGAGGGGGCTGAGCACGCACCCTTGTAAGGCCCCTGTGTTGAGGATCAGCGTAGTGGTGTTGCCTACCTTCACCACCTGGGGGCGGCCCATAAGGAAGTCCAGGACTTAGTTGCACAGGGCGGGGTTCAGACCCAGGGCCTCAAGCTTAATGATGAGCTTGGAGGGTACTATGGTGTTGAAGACTGAGCTGTAGTCTATGAACAGCATTCTTGCGTAGGTATTCCTCTTGTCCAGATTGGATAGGGCAGTGTGCAGTGCGATGGCGATTGCGTCATCCGTGGATCTATTGGGGCAGTATGAAAATTGCAGTGGGTCTAGGGTGTCGGGTAAGGTAGAGGTGATATGATCCTTAACTAGCCTCTCAAAGCAGTGAGTGCTACAGGGCGATAGTCATTTAGTTCAGTTACCTTCACTTTCTTGGATATGGTGGACATCTTGAAGGAAATGGGGACAGCAGACTGGGATAGGGAGAGGTTGAATATGTCCGTAACACTCCAGCCAGCTGGTCTGCACATGCTCTGAGGACGCGGCTAGGGATGCCGTCTGGGCCGGTAGCCTTGCAAGGGTTAATACGCTTAAAATGTCTTACTCACGTCGGCCACGGAGAACAAGAGCTCACAATCCTCTGAAGCGGCTGTGGCCTGCGTCGGCGCCAGTGTGTTTTCCTTGAAGGGGGCGAAGAAGGTGTTTAGCTTGTCCGGTAGCAAGGTGTCGTTGTTCGCAACGTGGCTGGTTTTCCCTTTATAATTGTGATTGTCTGGAGTCCCTGCCATATACGCCTTGTGTCTGAGCTGTTGAATTGCGACTCCACTTTGTCTCTGTACTGACGATTTGCCTGTTTGATTGCCTTACGGAGGGCATAACTGGACTCTTTGTACTCTACCATATTCCCAGTCACATTGCCGTAGTTAAATGCGGTGGTTCACGCTTTCAGTGTTGAGTGAATGTTGACATCTATCCAAATTTGTTGGTTTGGATAGGTTTTAATCGTCACGGTGGGAACAACATCCCCTATACACTTCCTGATTAACTTAGTCACCGTGTCGGTGTATACGTCAATGTTATTCTCAGAGGCAACCCGGAACATATCCCAGCCTGCGTGATCAAAACAATCTTGAAGCATGGATTCCGATTGGTCAGACCAGCGTTGAACAGACCTTACCACGGGTACTTCCTGTTTGAGTTTCTGCCTATAGGAAGGGAGGAGCAGAATGGAGGCGTGATCTGATTTGCTGAAGGGAGAGCGGGGGAGGGCCCTGTAGCCGTCCCGGAAGGGAGAGTAACAATGGTCAAGTTTTTGATGCGCGAGTAGTGCAGGCAATGTTTTGGTAAAACCTTGGTAGCGTATTCCTCAGATTTGCTTTATTAAAGTCCCCAGCTACAATAAATGTGGCCTCAGGATATGTGGTTTCCAGTTTGCACAAAGTCTAGTGTAGTTCCTTGAGAACTGTCGTGGTATCGGCTTAAGGGGGAATATACATGGCTGTGACGATGGCCGAAGAGAATTCTCTTGGGAGATAATGCGGTCGGTATTTGATTGTGAGGTATTCTAGATCGAGTGAACAAAAGTAGCAGTCCCGTCACGGCTCAACTTAAAAGGCTTCAGGATGTTACTCTGATGTTGATGAAGTCAAAGAGAATGAACAGCACTTAGTTCTCTTTGTTGTAATTTACCACAAGCTATTGCTACATATTCACAAAGAGTCACAGAGTTGGAGCGCTGATATAGGATCAGTTTTGCCTTTGGATCATAATAAATAAGGTTATATGGACGGGGATAACCTGATCGCAGATCAGCACTCCTACTCTGAGATGCTTTATGAATTAGAGGCCCAGTGTTCTAGTCTGTTCTTCCCAGTACCACTCTAACCACTTGACCCAACCGTGTTCTGATCACGTTCTCCTCCAACCCTCTACAGGCTGATCTGTGTGTCCCTCGTCTGAACGAAGGTGACCAGGTGGTTCTGATCAACGGTCGAGACATTTCAGAGCACACTCACGACCAGGTGGTCATGTTCATCAAGGCCAGCTGTGAGAGCCACTCAGGAGAGCTCATCCTATTGGTCAGGCCCAATGGTGAGGAGAGGGTTCCGATTGGTGACCAAGTAATCTCCTTGGGTTTACTACATTTTACATTTACATCATTTAGCAGACTCTCTTATCCAGAGCGACTTACAGTAGTGAGTGCATACATTTTCATACTGTTTTCGTACTGGTCCCCCGTGGGAAGTGAACCCACAACCCTGGCGTTGGAAGCACTATGCTCTACCAACTGAGCTACACGGGACCACTATTAAAATGTACAGTTAAAACAGGCCAAATCATTACAATATAGGTAGAAGAACAAGTGACATCAAACAAAAGATAGGCTACCTTCAAACATCCACACTAGCGTATAGCATTCCAGTTAGAATGCATACCTAATACATTGCTTCTTCTTAAGTGGTATGCTGGTGTGAATATTGAAACTGAGCAGAGCCTAAGACTTATTACAGTAATAATAAGAGATGCAATTCTTCTCATGACACTGTTCTAACTAACCATGTTGCTTCCTTCCATGTGTCTCCAGCCATCTATGACATGGTGGATGAGAAGCAGGAGACTGAGCCAGACTTCCAGTACATCCCAGAGAAGTGTCCCCAGGACCCCAGTCAGCTGGACCAGGACGCCTGGAAGGACTCCATGAACACCCTAAAGGAGGGTCTGGTCAGCGGGGAAGTACTAGCCCAGTTTGACGTGAGTCAGTCCTCCCCTCACCTCATCTACAAATTAAAAGCTTTCGTGAGCAAGACTTCTTCCCAATGTTCTTGTGATTTTTGGTTGTACCTCGAGTCATGTTGGTCTTGTTCAGTTTATTCTTTTTTGTATTTTCTGAGGTGACTGGAAATGTGGTGAGCGCAATAGCTCCCCCTAGTTTCTGCACTATTGGTTTCACCTCATTGAGTGCACAAAGGAGGTTACCACTTTCTGGAGGGAAATGTTGCTTAGGACTAGTGGTACACAAGTTCTACAGTATCAGCTTTATTGCTGTTATTTACTGTGCCCTCCAAGTGCAGGGTGATGCCCCTCACTTCTAGGTTATGGCACATAAGACAACTACTGTAATACCTGTTACTGTGTGAGGAATAATCACCAAGTCAAGTAGTTTACTCTATTTATTTATTGTATTTTTACCCCCTTTTTCTCCCCAATTTCGATCTTGTCTCATCGCTGCAACTCCCCAACGGGCTCGGGAGGCGAAGGTCGAGTCATACGTCCTCCGAAACATGACCTGCCAAACCATGCTTCTTAACACCCGCCCGCTTAACCCGGAAGCCAGCTGCCCCAATGTGTCGGAGGAAACACCGTTCAACTGATGACCGAGGTCAGCCTGTAGGCACCCGGCCCACCACAAGGAGTCGCTAGAGCGCGATGAGCCAAGTAAAGACCCCCCCCCCCCCCCCCCCCCCGGCCAAACCCTCCCCTAACCCGGAAGACGCTGGGCCAATTGTGCGCCGCCCTATGGGACTACCGATCACGGCCGGTTGTGACACAGCCTGGGATCGAACCCGGGTCTGTAGTGACGCCTTAGACCGCTGCGCCACTCGGGGAGGCCCCAAGTAGTTTACTTTAAAACAATAGGCTAATTCTTTGATGCGTCGGCCGCTCGTTGAAGATGTTGAGAAGCACCAGAGTTATCATTTCTTCCTCCGCATTCTGATAACTTCCTGTCTTTCATCAGGCACACTTAACAGCTTACTGTTTCTCTGCCTTGTTGTGTTATTAGACTAGAAGAATGTGCTAAATTGTGAGGGCAAAGGAAACGCGCACACACATACAGACCAGACATACCGGTATGCACTGAGAAAATGTTTTCCGTTCATGTGTGGGTTTATACAAATAATTGTGTTTTCGTCTTAATCCGCTACTGCACTTCACATACAATGTATGTATGACCATTTTAAAGATTAGTAGCATCTCTTGAATTCCACACACAGCAGGTGGAAGCAGCTTTAGGGAAAGACGTGGACATAGAAGGCATTTTGATTTTGAACATTCAGACATAGCAGGCATTCGGATTCTGAACATTCAGACATAGCAGGCATTCGGATTCTGAACATTCAGACATAGCAGGCATTCGGATTCTGAACATTCAGACATAGCAGGCATTCGGATTCTGAACATTCAGACATAGCAGGCATTCGAATTCTGAACATTCAGACATAGCAGGCATTCGGATTCTGAACATTCAGACATAGCAGGCATTCGGATTCTGAACATTCAGACATAGCAGGCATTCGGATTCTGAACATTCAGACATAGCAGGCATTCTCAGACTGTATTTACGTAAACATTTCATTTTTTATGCTTTGCCGAAATATCATGGCTCCTTGCTCCACATTTCTAAATGTATTGAGGGGGTTAAAGAACGAGGTGCTTGTGTAGAGTTAAAGTAAGATTTGAGATTACCAGTCAAGGTTTTTTTTCTCCTAACGCTTTTATTATTTTCTCACAGCAACTTTACCGGAAAAGTCCTGGAATGACAATGTTGTGTGCCAAATTACCTCAAAACATTTCCAAAAACCGCTACAGAGACATCTCACCCTGTGAGTATCACATCACAGTCTCCAACACACAGTTCACTCTTTACTTTTCTTAGTCTGTGTTAACCCACCATTTCACACTCCTCTCCTTTCTCTCTCCCCCTCTCTCTCCTTCTCTTTTGTTTTTAGATGACGCCACGCGGGTCATTCTGAAAAGCACAGATGACTACATCAATGCAAATTACATCAACGTGAGTGGCTCTAACCTCCTCCCTCATCACATATGCTGTTCGCCTCAGTCGACCCACACTACCATGGACTCTTTGTTCAGCAGGCCTAAAATAGGCCTCTGTCGGCCAAGATGGAGGTGTAGTCTCCACTCCAAGGACTGGAAATGGACACATGCTCTCATGCCCACACACTGTTGATCGTTAACAGCCCAACACACAGGTCTTATTCTCCTCCCTGTACTGTAGATGGAGATCCCGGCGTCCAGCCTGATCAACCGGTACATTGCGTGCCAGGGACCGCTGCCCAACACGTGCCCAGACTTCTGGCAGATGACCTGGGAGCAGGGCTCCTCTATGGTGGTCATGCTCACCACCCAGGTGGAGAGGGGACGGGTATGTACAGTAGGGTTAGACATGTACTGTATCCTCTCTGGGCCTCCAGGGAAAGGGTGCTGGGTGTTTTTCCTGAACAGTGTAACCTAAGAAGGAAAAACTCTAGGTCCTAGTCATGCCCTCAATATACACATGAGTTTTTCTGGAGTAAAGAAACATTTAATTTATCCTATTTTTTTTCCATCATTGATGCCATTCTAATCTGTGTCCGAGGCCTGATGTTGTTGCTCTGTGCGAACAGGTAAAGTGTCATCAGTACTGGCCAAACCCTGACAGCACTGCCACGTACGGCCGCTTCCAGCTGGACTGTCTCACTGAGGAGGGCAACTCCGCTTTCCTGGTCCGAGACATGACCCTCACACACCTCGAGGTACATGATGCTCACCAGTCACTGTTGCTTTTCCCAATGGCCAGTGCTAATGCAATGTCAACTATTTGGAAGTCAAAGTAAACTCAGCGAAATGGTGGATCACAGCTAAAAATGATTCAAAGCGTTACAAACACAGCATTGGAACTATCGCTTAAAGCGTTTAAAAGAGTTGCCATGGTGACTCGTCTTATTTTTCGGCCTCATGCGGTGCAGGTACGGTGGATCATCATGTTGCCATAGGGACCGGCATCTACAGCCATGAGGCTTCCAGTATTAACATGCAGCCTGTGTGTGTTACCATAGCGACACTGATAGATGATGTTGAAAGGGCAAACACACATCCCATAATAGCTTTGATTAACCGTGCTGGTCTGGCTGTGCTCCACCATTGTCAGTGAGGTGTCTCAGTGTGTGTCGTGGTGGGGAATGTTAATAAAGGGGGGTGCAGAGCATAGTCGTTTTTTGTTGTTGTTGTTGTCATGGCGACATTGCACTGACTGTACTGTTGTGTTGCCGTGGTGACAGAGCGAGGAGGTCCGGGAGTTGACCCAGATCCAGTACGTGGCCTGGCCGGACCACGGCGTCCCAGATGACTCCATGGACTTCCTGGACTTTGTCAGCCTTGTGCGGAGCAAACGAGCCGGCAAGGATGAGCCCATGGTGGTCCACTGCAGGTAGGGAGCATAATGCATGACACACATCCTTAGATGTACAGCAAGAAACACTCAAGGAAATCTCGAGTGAAAATGGTCTATGTTTTCACTAAACAACTCTGCATTCATCGCAGGGTCCCTCGATCTGACCTCAGTCCTAGTGTCTTGACTACAGAGGCTACTCCTCTCCCTCTTTGTGGAACTGTCTGAATGTCCTACTAGACTCCTACACACTGCTGTAGTACACAGTCCAGCAGCCCAGAACACTCCAGATAGAACACCTATACACCTTTAGAAATCCACGTCTCAGGCAGATAACTTGGCTAAAGTAAGACCTATCTGACTCAGCCAAGACATGTCTCAACAACACACTGGAACGTATTTAATGTATAGCGCCCAGGGATTGGGAGATTTCTGGATTCCAATCTAGACTTCATTCCATAAACTGATCTTTATGTGTGTTGCTATATGCCAGAAAAATAATTATCCACTGTTTTAACCCTCAATAGTATAAGCCTAGGGGGGTTCTACTAAGCTAACATATGGAATTGTTTTAAAATGGTCATAGTGTGGATCATTTAGATATTTGATTTGGAATTGTAGGACCCCTTTAAGTATATACATGTTTTTTGGGGGGATAAAACATTGAATTTGGCCTTACTGCTATTAGCCCATATAAAAGCATTGAAAAACAGATTCATACATGGAAAAACAAATAGTCCCCCAAAAAATCTAAAGGAAGTATGTTTTGAAGTGTCTGTCCTATATCTGAGAAATATAAGAAAGATCAGGAAACTATTGTATTTATTTTGACACATATTTAACGCCTTTTTTTAGGCGCTAAACTATTCCATCATATTTTTTAACTGGTACCTGGCTACCTTCAGGCGAGTCTTGTGAGGCTTGTGGGCGGCGTAGAGAAAAACTACCGAGAGACTCACCTTTCCAAAGAGGGGTCATAATAGTTTGTAGGCCAAACCATTCGGACGCTACAGATTTTCGGGATGTCTCATGGTCTGACAAACACCACTGTAGCTCTGCCTCCTTTCACTGCAGACGCGGAAGGCTGATATCGCCGGATATGGTGGATTGAGACACAGCCCATGCAGATATCTCTAGTTTAAAAAGACAGATTTGGATGGGGATTTTTGTATAATGCTAATTGGATTTTCAGCGGGGCTGCGGAATTGACTCGGGTTTTAAAAGGTAGAAATTATGTCATGAGTTTATAGTGAAACTTCTTCCTCCGCCCCCCTTTCCTCCTCTCCCCTTCTCTCCCGCTCGTGTGTCATCACTCAGCGCGGGGATTGGCCGAACGGGAGTTCTCATTACCATGGAGACAGCGTTGTGCCTGATGGAGTGCAGTCAGCCCATCTATCCATTAGACATAGTCAGAACCATGAGGGACCAGAGAGCCATGATGATTCAGACCCCCGTAAGTCCTCCTTTCATAACCTTCTGTTTATCCTCCTCTCTCTCCTCTCTCTCTCTCTCTCTCTCTCTCTCTCTCTCTCTCTCTCCTCTCTCTCTCTCTCTCTCTCTCTCTCTCTCTCCTCTCTCTCTCTCTCTCTCTCTCTCTCTCTCTCTCTCTCTCTCTCTCTCTCTCTCTCTCTCTCTCTCCCCTCTTTTGCTGTATCTCTAATTCTCTCTTCCTCCTCACGCTCTCTTCTTCCTCCCCCTCTTCCTCCTCCTTTTCTGGGCAGGCTCGTCTCTCTCGCCTCATTCAAGATGGCTCCTGCTAGCCTCTGAAGACGACCGAAACAATCTGTGTTAGTGTGCGAAGTAATAACAGATGGAGCACAGTGTAGAATAGTACAGTGTTACTAACTGAAAGGAGAGGATCATCCTACTAGGATGATGCTTTATTCATCCCTGTTGTATTGTCAATGGTAGACTTTCCATTGTTACAGTTTACCAGTGATAATCTCTTGTGCCATGACAATGCCATTGTCTCTCCAGATTCCAATCTTTAGGCTAGGCGTAAGGATTTAGTTTCATTCACTCGCCAGGTTCTCTGGTATTGAGCCTGGGCTACAGTATAATACAGTGAGCTCCAACAGTATTGGGACAGTGACAAATGTTTTGTTGTTTTGGCTCTGTACTCCAGCACTTTAGATTTGAAATGATACAATGACGTTAAACTGCAGACTGTCAGCTTTAATTTGAGGGTATTTTGATCCATATCGGGGGAACCGTTTAGAAATCACAGCACTTTTTGTACATAGTCCCCCCATTTTAGTACATACATAGTCCCCCCATTTTAGTACATACATAGTCCCCCCATTTTAGTACATACATAGTCCCCCCATTTTAGTACATACATAGTCCCCCCCCATTAAACAGAGTATATAAGTGGAGTTGAGCAGTCGGAAATCCCACTCATCGCTCACGGTGCACGGTGACTACCTGGACCTATCATTTGGTTTTGAAGTAGCCTATTGAAACCAAATCATATGATTTGAATGAAAAGTATTTTAATAAACAACAGAAAAAGGTGACTAAGAAGCACTCATCATTTCAAATAGGCTACATGTCGTATTAAACAGTATATAAACACTCTAAATAGGTCAGGAGCCAGACAGGTAGCCTAAGAAGGAATGAAAATGAAATATTTAGGCTATATTATTTCAATTATTTCAAGGCTATAGCCTACAAAGAAATACATTGTGAAGCATTAGTGAGTGCGACACAATAAGCTGGTAGGGACATAAAGGGCTCAGCATCTAAACAACATGTTGTTGTATTAAATCATTATAGTCTATACATTGCTCATATAGGCTGTGACTTACTTAGGATTAAATACAAGTTTAACGAAAAATGCCTTATTAGGCTCCATCTACAGTGCCTTGGAATTCATTTTTAGAAACATGAGTATGGCCAGAGTCTGTGGCTTCAAGCTCATGCGATGGTACCTGGAGAACAGGCCAGCATCAGAGAATACCCTCTCAGTGCTTGCAGTGCCACTGCGGATGCTAAACACCGTTTGGGCCACTCGCGATGGTACCTGGAGAACAGGCCAGCATCAGAATACCCTCTCAGTGCTTGCAGTGCCACTGCGGATGCTAAACACCGTTTGGGCCACTCGCGATGGTACCTGGAGAACAGGCCAGCATCAGAGAATACCCTCTCAGTGCTTGCAGTGCCACTGCGGATGCTAAACACCGTTTGGGCCACTCGCGATGGTACCTGGAGAACAGGCCAGCATCAGAGAATACCCTCTCAGTGCTTGCAGTGCCACTGCGGATGCTAAACACCGTTTGGGCCACTCGCGATGGTACCTGGAGAACAGGCCAGCATCAGAGAATACCCTCTCAGTGCTTGCAGTGCCACTGCGGATGCTAAACACCGTTTGGGCCACTCGCGATGGTACCTGGAGAACAGGCCAGCATCAGAGAATACCCTCTCAGTGCTTGCAGTGCCACTGCGGATGCTAAACACCGTTTGGGCCACTCGCGATGGTACCTGGAGAACAGGCCAGCATCAGAGAATACCCTCTCAGTGCTTGCGGTGCCACTGCGGATGCTAAACACCGTTTGGGCCACTGTTGCCAGACTGGTCAGGGATGCGTCGTTGTTTCTGTAGGTTAAAGCCTAAAGGATTTTAGGTCAAATAACCCTATGAAAACGGAAAGGACCTTCAAAGCGGTAATAGACCCCTTTCCAGTACACGACACACTGACGTCAGATACGCGCGACTCTTGGCTGCAGTAAGAAAGCCATCGCCATCTGTGCCCATTCAACATAGATTTACGTTTTTATTACTTCTAAACAAAATAACTTTTTGGGGTTCTCATACGCTTACAATGATGTTTTGATTCATGCTTGAACAGTCGCTAAGATTATATTTGGTTGTAGCAGCAGTTGTTAGCTAAAATGCTAACGCTCATTGATATAGGCTGTAGCAAAAGCTAGCCAAAGAGCCATTGTACTGGTTGAAGTTCAAGTGTTTTTTAAAGTATAATGCAGTTGATTTGCGATATTGACACACACATTATATTAAGCAGGGCATTCATACGAGCCTTAAAATCCAATTATAATCCAAAAGTAGTGTGAAATGCACTCATAAGCAACATGTAAATAGAGGCTTTTTTTGCTGGCATTCTATGAGAACAGAACGCCCCTGTGTTCTGCCACCAACTTGCACACATTGCCCTCGTGCGGCAATGTTTGCAAACACAGAAAGGGGTCTAAATGCCAGGCCTATTGGGCCAAAATCAATGATGGCCTATTGTATAGATAATAGAACGAAAATGAACAAAACTTTTGACCAGAGCCCTATTGGAAGTAGTGCACCTATATAGGGAATAGGGTGCCATTTGGGATGCACACTCTCTTAAGTCTCTGGAGAACTTCACAAGAGTACCATTTGGCCCCGTGCTCAGACCCAGGGTAGCAGGGGTAGAGATGATGATGATGCTGCAGTGGTAATCTCATTAGAATATGCTGAGCTCTAATGAGGCTAGCACATCCGCAGGGTTCGGGGGAAAAGAGGGGGCTACCATGCGTTTCCTTCCTCCAGTCATACACACTAAACTAAGTACACACATACACAATGAACTAAGTGCGAGCACACACATACACACCCACTCACACTCTTTCCCTAGTACACGTACACAGACTGACGTAAACATACACACATATGTACACGCGCGCAAACACATTCGTGGCACACACACCACTGCACCCCACCTCAGGGAAGTTGGCTGTTCAGATTGTTTATTCACACCTGGCTGCCTCTGTATCCCAATCACTGGGCTCCCGAGTGGCGCAGCGGTCTAAGGCACTGCATCTCAGTGCTTGAGGCATCACTACAGACCCCCTGGTTCGATTCCAGGCTTGAATGTCCCATAGGGCAGCGCACAATTGGCCCAGCGTCGTCCGGGTTTGGCCGGTGTAGGCCGTCATTGTAAATAAGAATTTGTTCTTAACTGACTTGCCTAGTTAAATAAAGGTAAAATAAAAAATAAAAACTGGCTGTCCTGGCTCGTTTGCTCATACCTTGCCATTGGCTCCTAATGTTGTTGACGTTCTCTTCCTTCCCCCTCTCTCCTTTTCTCTTCTGTGTCCTCAGAGCCAGTACAAGTTTGTGTGTGAAGCCATCTTGAGGGTCTACGAGGAAGGCCTGGTCAAACCCCTGAAGTCCACCCTTTACCAGAGAGAACGAGAAGAAGTAGAAAATGGAGAAGAAGAAGAAGAAGAAGAAGAAGAGGAGGATGTTAGTGTTAGCATTAGCGCTAGTGTGACCAGTGTGACTAGTGAGACTAGCGCGACCAGTGATTGCCCTGAACCCTGACCCCTTGGACCTGGGTCAGCCCAGTGCCAGGGAGGAGGAGCCCTGGTTACCATCCTTACCGCCCTGGGCCGAGGAGAGAACAAAGCACTGTTGCACTTTACGCCGTCAAAAAAACAAACAACTGAAAATCATAGACAAATGAATCCAGTTATGTTGAATAGGTACCATTAGGGACATTGTGTGTTCAGGGTTAATTAAAAAAAGACATTTAAAACATGGTGAAATTGCTGTAGTAGTGCCATAAGTGCAATGAATGGGCGGGGCTGCGAGAGAGGGAATGTTTTTCAGAGTGACCGATGAGCCCCTCCAAATGAATCTGCAAGACGGACATGCCTTTTCTTCCATGTCCCTCCGGCCGAACGAGAGACTCCAGATCTTTTTCAAATAATATTTATTGTGTTTTAGTTTGTCAAACCCTGTCCATTGAACAAAGTGTTTGTTAGAATGAATCTTAGCTTCAGGCTTCCCAAATGAAATCATAGGTAGGAAAAAGTAGTGTGATTCTTTACTTTTTAATGAAAATAGTGGTTTAATTTATTTTTGCTTTTGTCAAATTCAGACACTACACATCAGAGCACTTTGTGTCTAACCCTAGCTAACCTTGTGGCTGATGTGTTGCTATGCCTTGGTGCTTGCATAGAACAAACAAGGAGCCATTGATTGGCATGTTAAACTGTCCAGTTGGTAAACTTTTATAACTTTTTACTGTTTCAAGATGGGAAGGATCTACTCTAAGCAATTTGACAAAGTCCACGGCCACTAAGGCAGATAAAGCGAAGAAAAGTGAGACACGACCTTAAAACAACCTTTAAGTTACGTTCCTCGCTGTCTTTGTTTGTGTGTCTGTCTCTTTAAAAATGTAGAGGACACAAAAAGCATTCAACGAAACCCCACCTCCTCCCTTTTGGATATATTTCAAATTGTACTTAGAGGTTTTAACACACATTCTTTTTATTGGAGATGATAATCACTTAGGATGTTTTAGGTACAGATTTCTGGGCATTTGTTGTACTTGTACCCAACACAATTATGACATGTTTCACTCAAACATCTGACAACACGAGGTGTCCTTTTCACACTGGTTCAACTGTATTTACATTTTCATCAGCTCTTGTATGGGCGTTATCAGCTTGTTTATAGTTTTAGCTACTCTTCTTCTCATGAAAGAGGCTGTTTCTTGCTTTGTTTGGTTACCTGGCTGCTGGCATCTTGGCACTGCAGGTAGTGACACCCTCTCCGATGCACTCTTCTGCACAACCAAACTGCTGTATGCCTGTGTATGTGTGTGAGGATGTGTATGAGTGTGAGAGAGTGCAGCAAGCATGTGTATTTTTAGTGTGTGTGTGTGTGTGACACATCAGTTTCTGTTGTGTGTATGTATTATGCCCTGACTGGTGATGCTGTGTCTGTGTAACCATTAGCGAACCCCCTACCATTTCACCATAACCTG